GCTTTCGATTCACTTTCTCTCGCCCTCGGCTTCTTCCGACCGGGACGAGTGTCAGGAGTCGACCTTCACCGTGGTCGGTCGATGGAACTACACCGCTGCGTCAGCTTATACCAGCGAAAATACCATCGCTCTTCACTGCGAGCCGAGGGTGCAGATGCAAAATTTCAGCGTTACCTTTGATCAACGCGGTCAAATATCCGATGTCAACCCGCTTGATGGGACGTCCATTACCTCTGGTGCCATGTATGAGAATGCTACCGCGGCCATGGGGCAGTTCAACAAGATCTTTGCCGCTATCCCGCAGAGCTTTGTTGGGGAAGAACCGGGGCACAACGGGTCTTATGTGTCTTCGTACGATTGGGCCGGGTTTCTGGTGGCCCGGCTGTACAAACAGAGCCAGACGCATGTTCTACCTCTGCAGGTTGAGGCCCTGATGGAGCATTCCAAGGAGGTATATCAGTGGGTATACACCACTTACTTTTCGGTGTGGCGGAACATGTATCTTCTGCCATTGAAAGAGGCCCGTCCCGCCGCCAACGGGACGGTGATCTCGAACACGTGGGCTATGGTTCCGTCCGTGCCGTCGCTAGCTATTGCCCTCATCATCATCGCATTGGATACAGTGGTGGTGCTGGTGGTCTTTGGCAAACGACGGGGACGGTTCCGGGGCCCACGCATGCCCCGGTCGATCGGGGCGATCATCCCGTGGATCGCCAATAGTCGCATGTTGGGCGACTTCACCAACACCTACGCGATGCCCAACTCGCAGCGGCGGGAGCATACCACGCGGCTGAACAAACGGTATGCATTCCGGACGTTCCTGCAGGACGACGGGCGGTTGCGGTATGCGGTGGACGAGGAACCGCTGGTGGTTGAAGATAAACCTCCTCCGGAAGGGGGCGAACGTACAGGGGAGGAGGCGAAAGGGGCTGAGGTGATCGAGCTGCAGCCGATGGGCGAGCCGGAGACGCCTCCTGCTCGGCAGGAATCATGAATTTATGCGAGATGTAATGAACAATTAATGATGTAACAGTATTAGCATTGGATCGGGTGGGATGTTTAGCATGGGCCGGTTGGTTTGGGCTGGGTGGCATCAGGATTTGACTGGGTTTGGGGTCACATAGATTGGAGTTTGGAATTTGTACATAGATCTGGCTGTATAGGGAAAATGGCTATGATAAATTTTTGACCAGTGAGTAGATGAGGGATCAGAACATTCACCGCCTTCTACTGTAGTGATTGCCGTAGATTTCTGTAGGGAATGGAAGGAGTAGAGAGGTTATTCACTTCAATCACAGTGAAGATCACGCTCCTCTTGCCTTTCCTGTTGATCAACCATAGAATTCTCATCCACTCCACCTCGTTCCTCAACTAAAATCATCACAGGCAGAGGTTGATGACATCCTCCGACTTGATGTGGTCTTTCTTAGTCTGACGGTCCGCAAAAAGCTATTTCCTCAGACATGGTCCCTGCAAACCAGAGTTCGGTCTTGAACTAGAATGCCACGCTATTCAGAATTCCAACTCCAAGCTCCTCGAAAGCTGGAGATTCGCAGTCTTCGGGCTAGCATGGAGAGCTACGAGGGAGGGGGGAATTACCCTGTGAGAGGGCAAGCGAGGAGGAGATCTAAATCTGTGAAATCGTGCTGGCCAACAATCGGAAAAGAGCGACTGTCTCACTGCCACGGCCCGAATGATCCGTTGTACTCCTGGGCAATATGTCACGGTCATCAGAGCCCCAAGAACAGAGCCCTGTGGACCTGCACATCTGCAGTCCCCGCGATAGGGTGGAGAGCTACGAGGGGGGAAGCTACCATAATCTGCTGTATGTACCTTCCTTCGTTCATTGACTAAGGTGGAAGGGGCCCTTGTAATAACATTGGGCTGAGTATTTCCTCCGGTCAGCAAGAAAGGCTGCTCTCGGTGGTCCCCGAGTCGTTTTTTGGCGCCAGTGGTGTTCTGGGTACGCAATCCTCCTTCTATTCCCCTCGTCTTTTGTCTGTCACCCAATACCATGTTGACATCTCGCTAACTCACTCTTTACTACCAGACTGAAGAGGGGATTTTGACCCCCGAGAAAATGCCTACCGACGGGAGAAATGCTTAGACCTGGCGGACGGCCCTGATATCCCAGGCACGAGTAGATCCAGTGCTCACGTTTCAGGCCAACCATATCTGACTGAAGGCGCCTTCGTCGGACATGCTCGTCGTCGGCCCCCGCCAGTGTCGGATCCCTCCGACGGACTCGGTCACTTGCCATCCCCAACCTCTCCGAATAAATCGCCACGAGGCGTGGCTTTGACTCGGCCATCTTACGTGAGTGCAGCCTTTGGTCGACAGCAAATGAGTCAGATAAGTGAGAGTCATTTGTGAGCAATAGCTCGGCCGACGAGCGATCGGGTGAGTTCACGAGTTGCCTTGTTGGTCGTCCGCCGGTGCCCGTGGCAATGGCCAGCCCTGCCGATTGGCTCGAGTGGCATGGGGCCGCATGCAGCGGGGGTGCAGATTATCGAGGGTCTATCGATGCAGGCTGGCATCATGCTGGGTGATCTGTCACATCGCCGGGGTGTGATTGGAAGAAGGGGCAAGAACACCCGTTTCTGCCAGATGGCATTTGCCTCAACATTCGAGGAGACGCACCACGGAAGGCGAAGCAAAGCGAAAGAGAGTCAGTCACTGTGAACTGCGCTGGAGGCTGAGTGTTCCTAGTGGTTGGCCTTAACCAGGGTGCGAGCCAATGGTCAGCCCTGCCACGGGGTCAGATGCATAAGGCTGCCACTGCATGGATGGGGGCGGCCGGATCGACGGCCAGCGAAGTTTGTGCGCTCAACCACCGTTGCTGCACCCTTACCGGGCGGCGGAGTGGATTGGTCAATCCTGGGCTGATGGCTTGGCCAAATCCCTGTTCTCCATTTGTGGATGGGTGGATGGGTGGGATACAGGCTCTGCCCCTCAGCCACGATGCAGGGCTATTGGCAGGTTGCCCGATTCAGCTGGGGTGGGCGACAGCCTGGAGGCATTTGGGCAAGATATAAGGACCTCATCACGCAGGTCTGGGTCGGAGTTGGTCCAATTCAACCCCACCCCAAATTGAACCATGACTTACGATCCATGCGACTGCGACCGGCCGCCGGTACACAAGCCCACCCAAGAACTGGTGCTCTGTTTCGACGGCACAGGCAATACGTTTCGGGTTGACGGCGGCGAGAGCAATATCCTCAAAATCTTTCGGATGCTGGACCGCAGCAAAGAGAATCGATGTAAGCCTTGCCTCTTCAGTGGTCAACTTTCAAAACATACTAACCAACTTTCTCCCCAGACTGCTATTACCAACGTATATCCCCCCCAATCTTGTGAATCTTCCACACATACTAACCCTCCCAAGCCGGCATCGGCACCGACATAACCCCCGGAACATTCGCTAACGTCGCCTTCCGGCCCTTCAGCAACCTGCCCGCCAGCAAAGTCATCGACCAAGCCTTAGCAACCTCCTTCGACCAACACGTCATCGGCGGCTACCGCTTTTTAGCGAGGCGCTGGCGCCCGGGGAGCCACATCTACCTCTTCGGCTTCTCACGGGGCGCGTACACCGCACGCTTCCTCAACGAAATGCTCGACTTCGTGGGCCTCATCTCCGCCGACAACGAAGAACTGATCCCGTTCGTATGGCAAGCCTTCCTGTCGTGGAAATACGCACACGGGGAGCAGGAAGCGCGCCAAGCCGACAACTTCCTCCGGCTGTGCCGGGACACGATGTGCCGGTCCGTCGGACTCGTCCACTTTCTGGGATTGTTCGACACCGTCAACAGCGTCGCCGAATTCAACAAGGACGTGCTGAAAGATATGGAGACGATGCCCCGCCCGCGCTACATGCGGCACGCGGTGAGCATCGACGAGAAGCGCATCAAGTTCCAGCCCGTGCTGTTCGAGCGACTGCGCGGCGCGCACGCGAAGAAGGGGCGGGTGAGTACGTGGGCCGAGCGGGCGGAGCAGCAGTTCTGGGGGGTGCCGTTGAGCCCCGTGCTAGATACGGATTTCGAGGAGGTGTATTTCGCAGGGGATCATAGCGATGTCGGGGGCGGGCATCCTCCAAGTTATGCAGGGGAAGGGGCGAGGAGCTGGCCTGTCAGTCAGATTCCGTTGATGTGGATGGTGCAGGAGGCGACGCATGTGGGGTTGACGTTTGATCCGGTGCAGTTGCAGGAGTTGGGGTGTCATTTGGTTCCGGTTTCTTCGGCGGGTTCTTCTTCGGAGGATGGGGATGATGATGGTAGGGAGGGGAGGTTGATCGAGGTAGAGGACGTGGCAAAGCAGCAACAGCAACAACAACCGCTCATGGGATTCGACCCCGCGATCGTGCACATGGCCGAACGCGCCCCGCTGCACGATTCCCTCGAGTACGACTCCGGGAAAGGCGTCGAGACGCTCTTCTGGCGGTTGCTCGAGTGCCTGCCCATGAAACGCCCCAAGGTGAACCGCGACGGCTCCGTGAAGGAGACCCGGTGGCACGTCGGGGGCCTGCGGCGGCCGCTGCCGGACGGGGCGCGCATCCACGCCAGTGTGATCCACCGGCTGCAGCAGGACCCGGAGTATCGGCCGTATAACCTGGGGTTGGGGCACAAGCGGGTGCCGACGACGACGTCGCTGGACCGCCATCAGCATCAGATCGAGAGGAGGGATATCGGGCAGTGGCGACGGATGCAGCATGGGGGACTGTGTGATTACTACGTGCAGGTGCAGGGGCCTTTGCCGGGGGGGAGTGCGGGGGGGTCACGGTGTGCGTCGCGCAAGAGTACTGCTTAGGGGTGAGGGGTCAAGTGTATGCTAGTCGGGTGTTTGTAGACAATGCTTTCCTTCCTATCTTCCCTGTTTCCGGTTCACATAACCCAACGTAATAAGGAAGTGACTTAGACTCGACGAGAATTCATATTCATATTCATTAATACATATAGTCCATATTAAGTCTATCCCCCACCCCCCGTTAACACCGTCATCACCCCCTCAACCTAAACCACACCAGCCTAGAAAAGCTTATACCCACCCGGCATCAGCGTCTGAAACACCCCTTCGGGATCATAAGCACTGGCAATCTCCTGCAACTTCTCCAAATTCTCCGCACCATACCCGGAGTAAATCTCCTGGAACCACGCCGCATCACCCATGTAGTTGAAGGGATCATACAGCCCCGCGGCATCGGTGGCATTGTTGATCAGCTCGGTCGTCTCGACGACCCACTCGCCCACGATAGAGTCGTACTCGCTGCCAATCCACTCGACCACCTCGGCATAACACAGGTAGTTCTGGGTGGCGTCGAGGCCCAGCGCGTTGCCGCCGCGGGCGGTGGAGGCGTCGATCCAGTTGGCGCCGATGGGCTGCCAGTCCAGCTCGATGATGGAGATGTTGGCCGCGGGGATCTGGGCGTACAGCTTGGGCAGCTGCGCCGCGAAGGTGGCGTTGATGATCTGCACGCCCTGCAGGAGGGAGTCGTAGGTGGTTGCTTTGATGGTGCCGGCGACGAAGATGTCGCTTTTTTCTTGGTTAGTGTTTTTGGTTTTGCCGGGGTGAGTGTTTAGGGTTGGGGGATAGGATGAAGGGGAGCGGGCTGGGCTGGGCCGGGCTAGGGAAGGATGGGACATACTTAATGTGCGGGGTGACCACCGCACCCATCTCGACGGCCATCTCGGCCACCGTCTTGAAGCCCATCGTGTTCGACACGGCCGGGATATCGGTGAACACCTTGAGCGCGTCCGGGTAGCTGACGTCGGGGCTATCGTAAAAGAGGATCACCGAGCCGACCGCCGAGCCCTCGGAGGGCACCACGGCGGGCACGACGTGGGTCTTGGGGTCGGTGTTGTTGGCGGCGAACGCAGCCGTTGCCTGTGCCTTCTCGTCAGTTGTGTCCTCTACTCGACTCGTCTCATTCTCATGATCCACCGGGTCAGGGACAACGCACGGCCAGGAAATCCGGGATGTACTCCTCCGCGACCGTCCAGGTGCCCGCCCACACCTGGGTGGAGGCGATGGTCTCGATGTCGAAGCGGGTCACGAGGCCGAAGTTGCTGCTGCCGCCCTTCAGGGCCCAGAAGAGGTCCGCGTGCGCGGTGGCGTTGGCCTCGACGATGGTGCCGTTGGCCAGCACGACCTCGTAGTTGACCACCGAGTCGCACGAGAACCCGACCTGGTTGCCGTAGTAGTTCACGCCGCCGGCCAGGAGCAGCCCCGGCACGCCGACGGGGCCCAGACGGCCTCCCGGTGCGGTGAGGTTGTAGGGTTCCAGGTAGTCGTAGATCTCTTGCCAGCTATTCGGACATGTCAGTACTTTCTCGAACGAGAGTTACGGTAAGCAAGGCAAGGCCACGAACCGGAAGCCAGGACCCATGTGCAGCAGCGACTGATCGGCGTTCAACTCCAGGGTGGTCAGGTTGGACATGACGATCAGCACGCCGTTGTCGATGTTGTTGGATCCCTGCCGATCACTTTCGTTAGCAATCAATCACGCCGGAAGAGGAAAAAGGTGCAGGTGCAGGGGAAGAAGGCACTGCAGCATACCCGAATGCCCATGTGGCCGCCACCGCGCACGGCGAACTCGGCCTGCGCCGCCACCAGCTTCTCAATGCCCCGCGCCAGCTGCGCGCTCGACTGCGGCCGGAACACGCACCCGGGCGCCATGATCTCGGTGTTGGACCAGAAGTTCTGCGCCTCGTACTCGTACACCGTCGTGCTGGGCAGGTAGACCTCGTCCAGGGCGCCGTTCAGCACGTTGCAGCCCTTGGTGAGGTTGCTGGCGCCGGCGAGGCCGGCGAGCGGGAGGACGCGGGTGAATTTCATGGCGCAATTCTTCTTGAAAGCACAAGAATGACAAACGAGACAACAGAGATGAGAATTGAAAGAATCCTGGGAGACCAAAGAAAAATTGGGGACAAGGTGAGGCTTTTAAAGGCTACGGGCTACGGGCTACAGCCTAGCTGGCGTTGGGGGAACGAACGATAACCTCCGAACTCAATTGCAACTTGCAAGCCAAGTGATCAGGCCAGACTCATCGCAGTAAGGTCGATGCAGGCCACTCCGCGGAACAACCAGAAGAAAAGTGGAGGAGCTGCGTTTGCATGAATCAGGTGTGCCTGATCGGAGTGGGGAGGCCAGAAGACGAAGGAACACAACACCGAATGCGTGCAGAAAAAAAAAAACGGGCTCACCGCGCAGAAGCAAGGCGGAAGGACAGAAGAATGGTCCTAGTCTGGTTTGCTAGGCCACACCCGGCTTAGCGGTCTTGCTAGATCACTGGACAACGAACGGGGGTGGATGGAAAGGGATTAGAGGCACTGCAATAGTCTCGAAAGTGGGGAACTTATCGCCCGGGTTGGGGGGGGGGGGGGGGGGGGGGGGGGGGGAAGAGAGGAGAGGGGAGGGGGGGGAGAAGCAGGCAATAGCCGAGGGGGGCACTAACTTACCACCCACGTGGAAGAAGGATTGCGCCAATAGACTCCTTCTCATACACTGCCGCCATCTTATACAGGTGTACCGTGTACGGCACTGTGCATAGCGCTTCTGCACGGTTCGGAACCCATTTCCTTGCCGGAGGATGCCGTGCGTGCAGAACGAGGTGAGCCGTTGGGAGGGTCGGGATGGTTGGTGGGTGTCCGTCTTCCGGATCAAGTACCGCATCTGGACGCTTCGAACTTGGGCGTAGCCCTAATCCCCTACGGAAATTTCCCCCTGTCTCGTCTAGACAGCTGTCATTTGAATTAGAGATTAAGCAGGTTCCAACCTGCGATACAATGCGGTCCCCTATCCCCTCTTAACGCCGTGATTACCAAGCAAGAGCAAGCACCGACCTGATCCACTTGCTGACACCGACACTGACAGCACATGGCATGGCGGCATGGCGCCATGACAGCTCCACCAGCCCAGAGACAGAACAAAAAATGGGACAAAAATGCAGACGAAAGAATCCCAGCACAAGAAGCTGTGGAAGACAAAAATAGAACAAGAAAATAATCCCTCAATTATGCATCAATATACCGTATCATCAGCTATCGCAGGTCCGTATTACTATCCACATTAAACTCCACCGTCCGGATAATCCCCTCCGTGCTGCCCTTGCTGCGGTGCAACGCGGCCCCCGGGGTGGTCGTCCCCGGTAGGATATGCTCCTCGCTGTCGTCGTTGGTGCCCCCGTGCAATCGAGTGGAGTAGTGATTGCTGGCGGGCGCGAACTCGGGCGCATCGCGGGGGATGGAGCCCAGCGGGTGGCCGTATTTGCGCGAGGCCGACTCGTGGTAGCCGCCGCTGTGCGTCGAGAGACCCAGCAGGCGGGGGAAGTAGCGGCGCACGAAGGGGCGCATCGCGGTCGTGCACCCGCCGATGATCCCCAGGTTGAGCTCGATGGTGCACCACATGAGTGCGTTGGTCGTGGTCCCTGTGCTTTGTCTTTAGTCTCCAATCTTATGGTGGGATGAGGAGGAGCGAGAGGCGGGAGCGTACAAGTGAGGTCGGTGCTTTCGAGCAGGGTGTATAAACTGGCGAGACGGATACAGCTGATGACTCCGACACTATCCTCCTTATTAGCATCATTGATGCCCTCAAACGAAACAAAAAGGACTGGAACACTCACATGCACCCCATAGCCAGCATAGCGCCAACCGCGAATTTCTGTCGGAACGGCATCTGCAATCTCCGCAGCCACGGACTACCACCCCGTCAGCATCACCCCCTTCAATCACCAAGAGAAAAAACGCACATCGGAACCAACGTCGTCATGAAGTCCGTGAAAATGCCCAATCCCGCATTCGCAAAGTAAAACACCGGTCGGTTCATGCACGTCGCGTTCGTGATCGAATAGTCCCACGAGGCGGCCACGGGGCTGCAGCTGAAGATGTTGGCCAGCACGCTGGCCACGTTGTAGCCCACCGCGATGAAAATGACGGCCCAGACGGCGTAGTGGAAGGTCTTGCTGGGGAAGATGCGCAGGTAGAAGATCAGGACGGAGACTTTGGTGAAGCCGGTCCCGGCGCAGTAGATGATGGCCGCGACGACGTTGAGCTATCGCCGTTAGTCAGATTTGCGCGTGTGGTTGGAGGTGGAGGGGCCGGGTGGAATTTACCCTCAGGAACCACGGGGTGAGAGAGCTGTACGGGACGTCCCACATGTGTTTACCCAGACCCCAGTTGAGCACTGTCCATTAGCTTGGTGGTTGCGGTTGGAGCAGGGTATGGATGGCTTACTGTCGAGGGTGACGCCGGTGAGGATGCAGGAGAGGACCTGCTGGTCAGTTGCGATGCACGTGAGGAATATCATTGAGGAGGCGGCTTACAACGGAGATAATCATGAGGTCTGGAGTATTGTTAGTATATTATGCTCGATACTCCGGAGCGAAGGAGACCTACAATCATCATATGACACACTGCGCACCAGGTAAATGCGCGTCCACATGCGCACGACCAGCGCAATCACCGCCAGAGGCAGGAAGACACAGTTGACCACAAGGAACTTGAGGCCGCACGACGGGGGGTCGACGAAGTTGGAGACCATCCCGGCGGGCGGCGCCATGGCCGGCGTGATGGAGGAGCTGTTGGTCATGGTGTGCTCAACTCGGCATGATCTGGGCTTGATCTCTGTCGATGGGTGAGAACAAACACCCTAGTAAAAGAAAGAAAGAAACAAAGAAAGGGAAAAGAGTGACAGATGAGAATAGATCTGGGGAAGGAAAAAAGAGAAGGAGAAAAGAAGAAGCACAGACTGTAGCCCGGAGATATACTGTGTAGGTGACAGACAGGCCAACGCCAGGACTGCAGCGGAGACAGTGAACCAGCAGATAAGGGAACAACACTTCGGTGCACTCTGTCATATACAATTACCCGCTGCTACAATCAACCAAACTCTTTCTTTAGAATGGGCTGCTCTCCCCTCATACCAGAGGAGGAAACGACGCGCTACGCTACGTAAAAAGCCCTGTCCTGCACCAAGAAAAGTGGCGAACTCAATTTCGCCCGCTAATGGAGGGACTTGTTGGACTACTGAGACTATGTGCTGCAGCGCACGTTTTGGCGCTGGGCGACCGTGTATTCGGAGCAGGGACAAGACGAGACTAGTTGGTTCTAGTGCTGCTCATGAGACCCAGCTGGCTGGCTGGCGGGCGATTTTGTTTTGGTTTCCCAGACAAGAATCCAATTTTCAGACTTTCGGGGATTCGTCCCCGGTGAGTGAGTCAATCGAAGGGGGATGTTGTGTCCTATTGCTCATGATCGCATCCCATTCCCCTCTTAAAACAGGAGATCGTGACGATCACAGCTTGTTTCCCCTCGCTCTTCTCTTTCTGGGGCATCGACGGATGTCACGGTACAGATCTGAGAGGCGGGTGGAGGGGGGAAGTTGTCCAATGTCCACAATGGTAGGAAGAGGAAAAAAAAATCCAAAACAAAAACAAAGCAGCAAGTCAGAAGTCCGGCAAGGCCCGAAAATCTGGAACCGAGGCTGCCCGTCACGCAGAGAAGCGGAAACGAATCCATGGGTGGCACTCACCGGCTCCACCCTGGCAGAGTGCATTGTTTTTTCTCTCCTGTCAGCTCGGTCTGGAAGCTGACCTGGGTTCAGCTTCCAGGTGGTTTAAACGAGTGTACGTGATCTTTTTGGCACGTATGTTATTTCCTACAGTTTTTTCTGAAGCCAGGTAGAGCGTATGCTTGGGGGCTACTGGTAAAATGGTGCAGACCCTACGGGGGGTCCGAGCAGAGCTAGAAGGGAGGAAGGAAGGAAGGAAGGTCAAGTCGGAAGCCGAGCAACCGAAAGGATTGACAGAGTTCAGGTAGAGGATGATAGTTCGGTTCAGGAGGAAAAGTTCTATGCAGGTTAAGCTTTGTCACGGCTTGCAGGAACAAGGGACAATGGCCTCTCTCCCCTGAAAGAACTCATGGACTCGAGGAGATGCCTGATTGAGTGCTGACATGCAATCTAAATCTAATAAGGTCGGCTAATAGATTGTAACTACCGTGGTTGTCGAGAATAATACGAAGGATGGGCTGACCCTGGCCCGTGGATGACCCAAGGAGCTGGAACAGGGTGGAAATTGCACCGGCTGCCTTTGATGCCTTTGAGGGAGGGCCTGATGACGCAAGTTGTGGTTATGCTTGGGTTGTCGTGGTTCAATTGAGGAAAAAAATCGGCAAATCTAAGAAGACCAAGAAGAGTAGCGAAGCCGCTAACGACCCACTCAGCTTAGGGGTAGCCTCGGTTCTGGCCCTAACTTGCCCACACCAGCACCGCAACAGCCAAGAAACAGCAGAAAATCAACCCGTCGTGCCATGTGGTGAGAGGATCCAGCACGATTGTTCAACTAATGATAGACAGGATCCATGCAGCTTGCAATCCTTCAGTTGATGGACAGCCTCACCAAATAACTTGCACATATGTACTCAGTAGGTAGGTGAATGTTGACACTAGGTTCTGTTACCTTTAGAGCATCAAATAATATACGTAAGCAACCACACCGACCCAAGGTTCATTCTGCGTCCGGAAACCTTATCCCTCGCCGGAGCTCCATTGTGTCAATCCACAAATACGATGTCCGACTCACCAGGGAGAACCCCCGCCACCCCGAGATTCACCCATGGACGAGAATCTGTCATGCTCACGTCGGCCAGCTCTCCATCGCTGCCCTTTCCCATGCGAGTCTGGTACTTGCCCCTCCGCTCGGACCTCTCCGAGGACCCAGTGGACATAAAAACGGAGATTGCAGGCGAGAGAAAAAAAGGCCCAATTGGGAGTGCAGCCTCGGAAATCCGACCCGGAAAACTCTCTTAGCGAGCTGAACCGTCAACTACCCTGCGAGTGTGAGACAGGAATGGATAGGCAACCATTGGTCAAGGTCGATTCCTACTGGTTCGCAATGCGCAGCGGGATTCAGAAAGAATCAAAATACCAACTGGACAGAGGTCAAGGAAACTTATTACCAGATTCTACCGCTCAGGTACGTAACTACAGTGCTAAGGGCATAGATGCCAGACAAGAACAGCACCACCACCACCACCACCAACTGTAGAAATCCACCAAAACACCACACCACAACCGCAACCATATATGCACCCCTCCCGACCAAGTCCGAAAACTCGTAAACCCACCGACCAACACCTCAATCGATCTCAACCCCCCCGATTAGGTCCATACCGCCCCGTCCACGCGCGCAACCGCGCTCCCCCGAAAAACAAGGGTACCGCCAAGAGCAAACTAGCGGCCTGGATCGCCGTCATCTCGCCGAACACGACCGCCACGCCCTGGCGCGCGATCCAGTCGCTCGCGTACAGCGAAAGCAGCATGCCGATCGTGTTGCGGATGACGAAGATGATCACCAAAGCTTCGCCGGCGATCTGCATCCCACCCCTCGTATTAGTTCTAGTTTTGATTGAGAACGGCGAGGGAATACGAGGAAAATAGATTAAGGGGCTTGATTGAAGAGGAGATTTTTTATCCGAATGAGAGAGGAGAGAGGGGGGTGCTTGGGCGAGGGGAATCGGGGGATCGGGGAGGGGTTTATATCCTGGATGGTCCCTCGGCATCCTACCAAGGAGCATATTGCGACTGACTGCGGATTTTCGACGGCCGGAGGAGGAAAAGGAAGAAGAAGAAGAAAAAGAAGACGAAGCAACTCACCCGCTGATAACAATCCAACGCATATGTCACCGCGACATTCGAGATGGCCGCCACCCCGAACGCCTGCATCGCGTATCCCACCGCCACGCCCATCCAGTGCGTCTGGTGCGCGATGCACAGGCCGAATATCAGAATGCCCCCCGGTCCGATCACCCCGGGCACCACCAAGGCCGGAAGACGGTACTCCGGTTGTCGGTCGCCGCCGCGGCGTTGGGTGTATCGCGTCGAGATCTGGTCGATGAGACGGCCGCCGACGTAGAAGGCGAGGAGGGACCCGATGAACCCGGCCAGCGAGAGGAGGCCGATGTCGCCGGCGGGCCAGTTGTAGGGGGCGTAGGTGAAGGTGCGAGAGGCGGTGAGTTGCACGACGATGTTCCTGTTTGACTCATGACCAGTTAGTCAGTCTGGGGATGTGTTGTGGGAGAAGGGACGAGGGTTCGGGGGACTCACCATCCGACTGAGACACCAATGGTAAAGGCACACCAGAGGAGCTGGGGATAAGCTGCGGCGGATAGGATGGCTTTGACCGTGCGCAGGAACGAGGCATCGGGGTTGTAGCCCTGCTTCAACGAGAGCATGCTCCAGACCGAGGGGGTCTTGTCTTGGGAAGCCTCATGTCGAGCAGGCAGATATGTGGTCTCGCGGATGGTGAAGATACCCACCGCCCAAATCACACCGGAAGCAATGGCCAGGAACCAACACATCCAGCGCCAGCCCGCGTCCTGCACGATGTAGGCGTTGATCAACGGCCCCACGAACAACCCCGACGTCAGCGCCAGATGGAAGATCATCAACCAGTGACCCCGACCCTCCGGACGAACCATATCGCCCACCACCGCGGGGACAGTCGCGTCGGCGGCGGCGGCGGCGAGCCCGGACATGATCCGAGCGCCCAGCAACTCCGAGTATCCCGTGACTTTCGCGGACCAGACGTTCATCATCGAGAGGCCGAGCAGGGCGGCCAGGTAGACGGGCCGTTTGCCAAAGACCCGCATGAGAGGGACCCATGCGAGGTTGCCCAGGCCGAAGAAGAAGACATTCAGCGAGACGAGGTGGCCTGCGTCCGTGGAGGAGACGTGGAACTCGGCGATGATGGCTTTGGTGGCGACGGTGAAGTTGCTGCTGTTGACGTTGGCCAGGAAGGTGAAGCAGCAGATGGTCATGTATGTCGTGATTTTCGTCAGCAGAGGCCAGTTCTGTGGAGTGAAGGTGAGTCTGATAGTCTGTGTTGGTTAGACGTAGAGTTGCCTACCTTGGGATCGTGCGGGTCCGGGGCCGGTTCGGCGGTTTTGGCATCGTAGCCATCTTGCAGCCCCTGTTCATCGGCGTAGTCGATGTGGTTGGATGTGCCCTTGTCCTCGTCCATGGTGAGATGTAGCGGAGTAGAGTGGAGAAAGGGAGAGAAGCAGGGGGGGGGGCAAGATATGTGCGGGTGCGGGTCATCCGCAGCATATAAAAGAGCTGTTAAGCAAGTGCCAAGATGTCGGATATTCCGAATGGCCACCAGGCCAACGAAGAAGGCCGATCGGCAGTTGACCCCGCACGGTTGGGATGACTCTGGGGAAAAGCCGGGGAACCCAGAAGGCTTGTTGCACGCGGTCGCGTTTGTAATCCTTGCCTCGGACTCTCCGGGTGGCTGGTCGACTAAGAGGGTTGGGGATTGGTCCGTCAGTCTGCACCGTTGTACAATCATTAAAATGATGATACTGTACGCTAAAGAGGCTCATTCTGGCTTACCCGTCCACTGTTCAATGTACACGACTCGCTGTCTTGGCACTAGTGGCATATGTTACCACAGAAATATGTTTAAGGCACTTGGGAATTGTTTTTTGCTTGCAAAATGAAAAGACTACTCCACTCACTCAGCAAAGAGTAAGCACCCCGAAAAGTGTGTTCACATTCATGTATAAAAGGAGTGTGTGCAAGAAAGTATAACCCCAGCAGCAGCGACCATGAGACAGCACCAGGCTATCCCATCCCCACTACATCATAGAAACCCATATCCAAGCTCAAAGAATAACCATTTCCAGATCCATAAAACCAATCCATGACCATAACGCATCCTCATGCTTCTACCTCATTTTCCGCCCCAACCTAAGAAAGCCCGACGGCACTTACCAGGAACTGCGCGGCCGTCTGCGCATCGCTTCCATAAGACAAGTGAGCCATGACATTGACACCGTTCTCACAGACGGGGTCGCCGACGGCGCAGAACTCCTTGACCTTGCTGGAGTCGAGCTTGCCGACCGAGGTCATCTTGAGCGGGTCACCGAACAGGACAGCGGCCTGGATCTGGCCCGCGCTCAACGAGCTGGCGGCGTTGTGCACCACCATCGAGCCCTGCGAGTAGCCGCCCAGCACGACCTTGGTGTTGGGGCACTGGCTCAGCGCCTGCTTGACCAGGCTGGCCATCTTGGGGCCGCCAGAGGCGCCCATGTTCATGTTGCCCTGTTTGGGACACGATTAGCTTGACGTGATCGGAGAGAATTGAAGAGACAGAGGACGACTTACGGCCCAGTCGGCGGGGTAGTCCACACCCTGCACCGTCACCTTGTTGCCAGTCAGTGACTGCAGGGCCGAGGCGACCTCGGGGCCGACCACGCTGCCCATGTTGCCCATCTCCGTGGTTCCACGCGCGAAAATGAAGGTCAGCTCCTTGCAGCCGGTGCTGGAGGTGACTCCGTTCTGAGTGCTAGAGCCTAAAGGAAATGAGTATTGTGTAAGATGAGGGGGGCACAAAAGAGGGACAGAAGCTTACCACCCATGACGCTGCTGATCATACCGCTGAGTCCATCGCTGCTGCCAGAGGAGCTGGTGGTCGCGCTGCTACTGGGGAACAGAGAGCTCAGCGCACTCAGGCCACTGCTGCTGTCGGTGCTGGTAGTGGTGGTGCCAGTGGTGCTCCCACTAGCGCTGCCACTGGTGTCGGAAGAGCCGGTGGTGCTGCCGGTCGCCGAGCCACTGGTTGGGAACAGCGAGGCCAGGGCACTCAGACCACTAGATCCAGAGGAGGTGCTGGAGCCAGAGCTGGACCCGGACAGCAAAGAAGAGAGGTCGAATTGACGCCCATGCAGAGTCGGAGTGGGCGCAGCCAGCGCAGTGGCAAGGAGAGAAAGAGTAACGAAGGACTTCATGATGAAAAGATCGACGGCAACAAACGTGCGATTGGAACGAGAGAGATAGAGCGCAGCTCTGTAAACGAAGGAACAGCCTGAGTGAGGGAAGAGAGAGGAAGTGCACTGCACTGGCCGAAGTCAATGGATGGACGAGCTGGATTGGACTGGACCGACCAACTTTGCGTGAAAACCTCCCAACCTTATACTTGGTCCAAGTCCTCAAAATTGAGACCCTTCACAAGTCAGTTGAGCTGAACAGCCCGCGATCGGATCGGGCGTGTTTCAGCTTGCACCGAGGCTGTTCGAGAAGCTCGGTTCACATCCCTGGGAGGTGGCTCAACCCCGGGGTGAGAGGCCTGAAACCGTGCGGTTGATACATCACAATCCATGGTTAGCCGCAAATGTCTCACCCTGCGACGTCGCGGGCGAACCGTTATGTGTCGGTGTAGCAGCCAGACCGGTAGAATGACTGCTGCCAGTCGGGGCGCTCGGATCCCAAGGGCAGACCCTGTCCGTGACCAGGGTCTGTCGCCGATAAATGAGCGATCGTCCCCCTCTTTCCCCCTGGGGCGGTGATCGTGTTCCTGGACGGGTCTTCTCGCCGGCTGTTTAAGGGGTTCGTTAGGGCTACTCCGTACTCTACTAATGACTACTAGTGATTCCTGCGTCCCCGCAATCGCCCAATTTTTGAGGCCTCTTTCCCCGATCGGGCAATCGGCCCGCTCCGGCAAAACCTTCAACCTGCACCACATTCCTTGGTGGATGAGAGAGATCAGCTTCAAAGGCTGAGCCTGTCCTCGCTGAAACTTCGGCCAGCCTGTCATGCATGGATGATACGGCGGAATTGGAAAAGTCTGTCTGTTTCAGTTGGCCAGTCCTTCCATTTCTGATCCATGGATCACCTACGGCTGTGCCTGAAGCATTCAGGGCAAAATGATCCAGACCATGGTAGATCCATCACTCTCGAAGGATGAGGATCAACCCGAACGTGAGCAGCATGACCCGGTTGCGGAGCGCGAAAGGAGATCTGCCTCGGTACCGCTCGATATCACCGCCTTGGCGTATTCTCGACGGGGCTTAGGATCGGCAATCGACGTCACTAGCAGACTTATCAATCGAGAGGTACTCACCTTTGCCTACCTTGATAATGATGCTTTAGACAATTAATAGATCTAGCGAGAATTTTCACGCTGCGAGTGAAGAGTTATTCGAGGCCGGTGGTCCAGCATGGAACGCCAAATCCTTCTCATTCTTTCTTCCCTCAGGCGGAGTCAAATCGCTCACAAGATCACACTGCAATCTTGGATAGGCAACAGAGATACTTACCCAGGGCTATTGTGAGTTTCAGCATCAGGGCCCACAAGGCGGGTGACAAGCCGACTGCTGTCAGAATGTTCCGTACCTGAGAGTCCAGACTTTCCGGCTCGAGAAAACTGCCTTTCTGGTTGTTCAGCAGTGAAAGAAAATTGTGCAGGACCTGCGGGCTGGCTTGACAGTTCTTGAATCGAGGGCCTAGACTAAGTGGCAGAGTAGATCCTTTGATTTCCTATTGACGAGCACTAGAATTCGGTTCGATATCCTGTGTCTAGACGGCATTGTGCATAAATCCAAGGTTGTGCACATCCTATTCCAAACGCCATTTATCCAGAATATTAGTCATAAATGTAGGGCATGAGCTCACCTTTCACGATTGCGGAGTTACATAGCAGGCCAAGGGGGTCTGTATAGAGCCTTTTCTACTATTAATGATAGTAGTATTTAGTTATAAAGAGTGATTATTGGTTATCATATAGTTATAATATAGTTATAATACAGTTATAGTACAGTTAGAATACAGTTGTAGTAGTAAAAAATAGTCTTAAAATAATAAATACTATTATATAATAGAAAAAGTATATTACAGAACTGTTTATAACTAGTATTAAAAGTAGATTACTTAATAATTAATTTTAATACTAACAGTTATCTTAAACGTTATAGAAGTTTCTTATAGTTTATTTTTATATTAGATTAGTTATCTTTCTATTCTTTAACTGTAGGCTAAGAAGTAATAATAATATTATTAAAATTTTTAAATATATAAAATAGTATTTTAAAATATAAAAATAATAGAAATCTTTATAATACTTTATATAAAGTTAATATTCCATGTATACTATATTAAAATTGTTAAAATTAGAAAAGTATAAACAGACTTCTATAAAAAATCTAATATAAATATTTTTTTAATATTAGGATTAGGGCTTATTAGAGCCTATTTATTTAAATATTTAAAATAAAAAAGTACTAATAAAAAATCTTTTCAAATTACTTATAAAGATTTTATAAAAAGAAATACAAAATATTAATAATTAAGATAGTATATAACCCTACAAGAAAGATAGAATAAAGTAGAATAATATTAAATAAATAATTAATTATAAAATAGATAAGAACTAATAAATATTAGTAAGTATAATATAAAGAATATAAAAAACTATAAACTAACTATTTAAAAATCCTAATATAACTCTAAAAAGATAGTATTATATTATTATACTGGATTAGAATACTCTAAGAGTATTCTGTTGAGTATACTAATAAAAATATTTTAAAAATTTAGTTTATTAAATAGACTTTTAGTCTTTTAAAATCAAGTTATTTAAATAGAATATATTTTTTAATTATAGAATAGAGTGGATTAACCTGACCGTTATACCTTAACCTTAACCTGGCCATAACCTGGCGGTCAGATTAAGATATAAAAAAATTTTAACCGTACGGTTATAGTTAGATTAAGATATAACTATTATTTTAACTATTTATATCTACCGGTTAGAAAGATTAAGTATAGCAGGTAGATTAATAACTGCAGATTAATTAGTAATATATATATTTTTTTTATACAGATAATATACAAAATATAATATATTTTTAATTATAGTATAGTAATATTCTCTAAATTTAGTTTATTTATTTAATATTATAATACAGTTCTAATCCTTCTGACTTATCTGTTTAATCTATTTAATTTGTTTAACTTACTTAATCTGCTTAATCTGCTTAATTTATTTAATTTACTCGACCTCTCCCCCCGTGGAGCTGAGAGGTATACTATACTTTAAAAAAGATTTTTACAGAATCTAGTATAAAAAAAATAATATCTAATATTAGATAAACTAATAAGATTATACTATTTTTTATACTATTCAGAATAGTAATTATAATAGTAGAGAAATCAAGAAGACCGGGTCTCTATCTCTATTTAAGTATATATAATATTTAAAGACTTAGATAAAGCTAGCTTTTTTATTTCTAATAATAATCTATCTTTTAGATTATCTTTAAGATTATTTATATTCTTATTTTTATTAATATAAAAAATAATAATTATTTTATTCTTCTCTTGCTTTTTAGATATAAAAATAATTAAATCTAGATTAAGATTATTAAAAATATTCTAATACTTCTTACTAATAATAAAACAATTAATATATATTTAAAGTATTACTACTTTAATTATATTAGTATAAAGACAGCTCCGGCGATAATAACAGATATTTTAAAAACTATTAAATAGATATTTAATACTAATACTGTTAGTAGCAACTAAAAGAAAATCTCTAGCTATTTAATAAAGAATAGAAAACTAATTACAGTAGGACTTCCAGTAAGTAAAAATATTAGTATATTTTATAATATTTAGAATAGTATTAATTTAATTAAAAATATCTTTATAAGCTATATATCTTTAATATCTAAATATATTTTAAGTTCTTCAAATATCTCAACTGCTGGTAAAAGTCTTTAATATTTAAAAATATTATAAAAGACTTTATCCAGGCCTGATAATAACCCGAAGATAATTAATAGTATATTAATAACTAGATTCTAACTATAATAAAAATAGAATATCTTCTTAAAAACAGTTCGGTATTTATAATACTAGTTAATATTATTATCTAGTCAGACATTTTTTTTAAACTTCTTAAGCTTTAATATCGGGTTTAGAATAGTTATAATTATATAAATATAGCCTTCTGCCTAGTAGATATAATAATAGTATTTTCGGAGTTTTTAATATATATTTTACAAGCCTTTAAAAATCTTTTTTTTTTAAAGTATCCGCTTTCTTATCAATCGGTTAATTAAGTAATCCAAATAATCAAAAAAATTATTATAAATATTATAAATCTTATAAACAGTAGGCCTACTGTTCTTAGATAGATAGAATATAAAAAAAAAAAGATATAAAAGCTTAAAAAAATACTTTATCTATTTCTACTTAGTTATAGTAGAATAAAGATAATTAATATTATTATAATTATAGTACTAAATAAAACTTTTAATTACTTAATAAAGATTAAGTATCCGGCGAATTATAAAATAAATTAAATTCCAGCAAGTTTTACAGTTAAAAAAAAGATAATAAACTAAGCCTAATTCAAGTTGTTAAATAAGCTGAAATTTTTTATAATATTAAAAACTTATATTTATAAATCGTGCAATCTTCCGAATCTATAATTAAGAATTAGTAAAATTAGCTATTACTAAAAAAAAATCTTTAGAACCCGTCTATAAAAGATTAATCTAAATAATTTTTATTATAGACAGTAGAAACTCTTTATATTAGCCTTTTATAGATAGCTTCTAGAATATATTTTTTTAAGAGTTTTTAAAATACTAAAAAAGACTTTAAAACTTTTATTATAAATCTTCTATATATATTTAACAGTACTGTTTAAAACTTTAATCTAAAGTTTTTATAGAAGAATATTAACTATAAGTTAAATTATATAAGCAAAACAGAATATATAATACTAGCTTTAAATAATTATTATAAGATCGGAATAGAATAAAATATTATAAAGCTAAGTACTCTAGCTAAGCTAAATCTAAAATTTAGATAAGATTATACTAAATATTAAACTATTATTATTAATATTATCAGTTGTTATACCTAACAACCGATAAAATAGATTATATTTATATAAAACTAATAAAATAATTATAGCTAGATTTTTATTAATATAAAATCCAGATACCGGTCGGAAGTCCAGTAAAACTTTATAATAATCTATATTTTTTATTTAAAAAATATCTAATTAAAGTAAAAAATACTTTTTAATTAGAGCTGGTCCAGCAGTCTATTATAATTAATATTTATTTAATATTTAAAAACTTTAATAACAGCTGTATATATATATTTTTTAATAATTCTAAAAAATATTCTTTAATTTGTACTTGATTGGAAGAACTTAATTTTCGGTAAAAAAATAAAACTGCAAGATTAATTATCTGTTTAAATTAAATATACTTAATAGTCCGGAATAATAGGCGACAGATAATTATAAAATATAAAATTTAATTTTAAAAATTCTGTTTATTATAGACTGTAGAGGCCTAAAAAAAATAATAATTAAAAAAAATTTATTTTTAAAAAATAAGTAAATATCTATAATAACTCTTTACTTAGTATCTGACTAATTATTTACTTAGATACTACTAATAGTATTTTCTTTTTATAATTCTTACAAAAATAATAGTTTATAAAACTAGTTTTTAAATTTTTAATTCCCGGGTGTTATAAGATATAAAAATATACAGTATAATAGATATAAAAAGTTTTATTAGAAAATAATATATTTTTCTAAAAACTATTTTATATTATTAATATCTTTTTTTAACTAAAGTAAAATAGCAGTTTTCGAGCTCGCATATAGGTTTTAAAAAAGATTATCTTTTGCTACTAATTTTAGAAAATAAAAAACTTTTTTTATAAATTAGATATAAAATAATCTTCTGATTCTTCGCGACGCGCGTAATCTGAAGATTTAAAAAAAAAGAAAAAATCTAGCTTAAAAAGCTTATTTTAGTTAAAGTATTATTATAGTTTATAAAAATCTAAAAAATAAAAAAAAAAAGCTCGATAGTATTCTTTAAAAATAAGCTAGATAACTATAATTAACTTATAATTCTAAAACTACTCTACAAATAATAAATACAGAAAGATAAAAGTAGAAAATTCTATAAAAACAGTTTATTTTATTTTAAAATATACTTTTATATAAATATAATCTATTATATTTTAAATACAGCTAAAGCATCTGCCGCATCTTATTTATTTTAAAAAGCCTAGTAAGCAGAAAATCATATCTTAAGTCCAGAATTATAAAAGTCAGATTAATTAAATCAGTCAGATTATTTTTATATTAATAAAAAAAACCTAAAAAAGACTTTTACAGAACCCTCTAAGAAATATAATATCTAATATTTAATTAAATAATTATTAAAAAGTATAGTTGCCGAAAAAAATCATATAAATAATATTATATAAATATTATAGTATAGCCCTAATTCTTTTAACTTATCTACTTAATTTATTTAATCTGTTTAACCTGCTTAATCTGCTTAATTTATTTAATCTATTTAATCTATTTAACTTGCTTGACCTGCTTAATCTGCTTAATTTATTTAATTTACTTAATTTATTTAATTTATTTAATCTATTTAATCTGCTAAATCTATTATTTCTAACTGTTTATTACATGACCCTGAATCTGCTTAAAAATCTTTTTGTTTCTAAATTCTTTTATAGCTCTTCGAGCTACGTCTTATTTATAAATCTAAAAATAATCTAATTAAATAGCTAATTAAAAATAAGAAAATAAGTTATTAAAATATTATTAGCTTGTTATTTATTTTATTATTTTATCTGCTGTTATCTGTACCTGCCAGTCTATAACTTAACAGCAGATTTTTTTTTAAGTTTAATTTATAATACAGATAATTTAGCTCTTTTAAATAGAAAATAAAAATATAATAAACTATTTAAGCTGGAGTAAGAAGAAGAATAATAAAATAAAAACAGTATATTTATTTTTAATAATCTAACTAGTAATAAATATATAGTTTTTTAGTTATTATATAATATAACTAAGATATACAGCCCAAACCAAGCTGTAATTATATATATTTATATATATTTCTCGCTGTAAAAGCAACAGTTTTATAAAAAACTAAATTTTATTAATACTACTAGAATTTTCTGATTAATTCTTTTAGATAGAGATAAAGAAGATACTAATACTTCTTTTAGTTATTATTTTCTAATTTAAAAAGCTTGTTTTTATATACTTTTAGATAATAGTTAAAATAGTCAGATTAATAACTACTTAATCTAGATATATTTTAACTGTATTAGAGCCTAAACAAATATAGTAAAAAAATCTTAGTACTAAAAATAGTTAAAATAGTTAACCGCCTGTTTTTTAGCTATACTGCGGTCAGATATAAAAATTTCTTTAATCTAGCCATAACCTGGCGGTCAGGTATAAAAATTCTAATTAACCTGATCTGACCTGGCCGTTAGCCACTCTATTATAGAATTATATTTGTTCGGTAGAATATAGTAATTTAAAAATTATAAATATAACTAGCAGAACTTTAAGATTAATTAAATTTAAATAAAAAAGCTATAGTTTTAAATACTATTAAATCTAAGTCGCAGGGACTGTCGAATCTAATCTATTTAAAAAAAATAGATTATAAAATTATATAGTAAGGCCCGATCTGTCCAGATCTTATAAATTCTAAAAATAAAAATAAAAGTAATTAAAATTAAGATTCTAAATAGTAAAAAAGTTATTTTATATCTATTTATATTTCTATTTTCTGCTTAGTATATTACAGTTTATTAATAGTCTATACTCTGTAGTAAATAATAGAAAATATATTCTAATATAAATATTTAGAATAGTAAGATTTCAGAGCTATTTATCTTTTAAAACTAGTAGTTTATTTATAAATAGTTAGCTAGTTATTTATATTATAAAAGATAAGATATATTATTATCAGATATAAATCTTTTTAAATCTTAAGATTTAAGTAATAAAACAACTATAATAAGATACTAAAAAGCTTTTTAACTGTATATAATAAATTAGAATATTATTAGAATTAAAATAGTATAATATATTAAAGTTACTAAAATCTTTTAGACAATAACAGCACAGGTCCGGATAATATATTCTAGTAATAAACTTAGTTTAATTTATAAATAAAATATTAAAAATAAAACTAAAATATATTTAAAATATCTTTAATAAAACTAAGTTTTATTAGTCTTATATTATAAGACTAGTAAAAGTAGAACAAGTGCTTGTCTAAGTTCGGATAATATCTATATTTAAAGATATTTAAGTACTAACAGACGAGACTAATAAATAAGCCTAATAATTTTCCGAAGTACTATAAAATATTTCTTTATATTTTTTAGATTTAAAATCCGAAGTATAAAGTTTTAAAAACAGAGATTAAGATTCTTCTAATTTAAATAAAAAATATTATACAGTTGACTAAAAACAAGATCTAATAATAATACAAATAATTCAAGTAGTAATAAATAAAATAATAGATTTTTTAAACTAAAAAACTAAATCTATTTAATAGATAAAAAAAGACTTTCTGTATATTTTCGGAATAATTTAATCTTAAAATAATACTAATTGTATAAGAGAAAGTTAAATTTTAAGTTATATCTATTATTTTTTAGATAATAGCAGATATAATATCTAAATTTAATATTATAGTTTTAAATACTAGAATTTTTTATTTATTAGGATATATCGCCGGTAAATATAATAATAAATATAGTAATAACTATATATACTCTATAAAGATATATATAAAATTTTTAAAAAAAAGTCCAGATCTTTTTTTAAAATATCTAAATATTATCTTCTATTTTTATACTATAAGAACCCAGTATTAGAATAAAAAAATTATTTAAATAATATTATTTCTAATAAGTTAATTCTACTAAAATAAGATAAAAAGTTTTTAAAATTTTATATATATTTTAATATACTCCAAAGTTATTAATAAATAGTAGAAATAGAATTAACCGGATATTAGACTGCTCGAATAACTATTAAAAGTAGCTGTATCTATAATATTTAATCTTTAACTTTATTTAAAAAGAATATATCTTAATATATTATCGAAACTTACGAGTAGATAGATAAAATATATAAAAAATAATAATCAAATTATTATTTAGAATAGTCTAATAAGAGAATACAAAGTTAACTTGTTTTAAAATTAATAATATTAAGATCTCTAAATATTCTTAATATTCGATTAAAAAGTAAGAATAGTTATAATCTGGTTTAGAGTGGATTAACCTGACCGTTATACCTTAACCTTAACCTGACCATAACCTGGCGGTCAGGTTAAGGTACAAAAAAATTTTAACCGTACGGTTATGGTTAGGTTAAGATACAACCATCACTTTAACCGTTTATACCTGCCGGTCAGGAAGGTCAGGTATAGCGGGTAGGTTAATAACTGCAGGTTAATTAATAATATATATATTTCTTTTATACAGATAATATACAAAGTGTAATATACTTTTAATTATAGTATAGTAATGTTATCTAGATTTAGCTTATCTGCTTGATCTGTTTGATTTATTTGACCTGTTTGATCTGTTCGATCTGTTCGACCTGCTCGACCTCTTTTCCTGTGGTTCCGAGGGGTATACTACGCTTTAAAAAAGACATTTACAAAATCCAGTATAAGAAATATAAAATTTAATATTAGATAAACTGATAAGATTATACTACTCTTTATACTGTCCAGGATGATAATCATGGTAGCGAAGAAATCGAGAAGACCGGGTCTCTATCTCTACCTAAGTACGTGTAATATTCGAAGACTCAGATAAAGCTAGCTTTCTTGTTTCTAATAATAATCCATCTTCTAGATTATCTTTAAGATTATTTATATTCTTATTTTTACTAATATAGAAGATAGTAATTATTTTATCCTCCTCTTACTCCTTAGGTATAAAGATAATCGAATCCGGATTAAGATTATTAAGAATATCCTGGTACTTCTTACTGATAGTAAAACAATCGGTACATATCTGAAGCATTACTGCTTTAATTATATCAGAATAAAAACAGCTCCGGCAATAGTAACAGATATCTTAAGAACTATTAAATAGACGTTCAATACTAACACCGTTGGTAGCAACTAAGAGAAAATCTCTAGCTATCTAATAGAGAATAGAAAACTAATTACGGCGGGACTTCTAGTAAGCAAGAATATCAGTATATCCTATAGTACTTAGAACAGTATCAGTTTAATCAAAGATATTTTGATAAGCTATATACCTTCGATATCTAGATATATCTTAAGTTTTTTAAATGTCTCGGCTGCCGGTGAGAGTCTCCGGCGTTTAGAGATGTTATAAAAGGCTTTATCCAGGCCTGACAGTAACCCGGAGATAGTTAATAGTATATTAATAGCCGGATTCTAACTGTAATAGAAATAGAACACCTTCTCAAAAATAGTTCGGTACTTAAGATACCAGTCAGTATTATTATCCAGCTAGGTATTCTTTTTAAACTTTTTAAGCTTTGACATCGGGTCCAGAATAGTTGTAATTATATAGATATAGCCTTCTGCCTGGTAGGTATAATGGTAGTATTTTCGGAGCTTTCGATGTATATCCTGCAAGCCTCCAAGAATCTCTTTTTTCCAGGGTGCCCGCTTTCTTACCAATCGATTGATTGAGTGATCCAGATAATCGAAAAGATTGTTGTAGATATTATAAACCTTGTGAACAGTAGGCCCACTGTTCTCAGATAGATACGATATAAAAAGAAAAAAGAAGTATAGAAGCTTAAGAAGATACTCCATCTGTTTCTACTCAATTATAGTAGGGTAAAGATGATTAATGTTACTATAATCACAGTGCTGAATAAAACTGTTAATTGCTTAACAAAAATTAAGTGCCCGGCGAATTATAAGATAGATTAAGTTCCAGCAAGTTTTACAGTTAAGAAGAAGGTAGTAGACCGAGCCTGATTCGAGTTGTTAAATAAGCTGGAACTTTTTATAGTATTAAAAGCTTATATTTACAAATCGTGCAATCTTCCGAATCTATAATTAAGAATTAGTATTATTAGCTATTATTAAAAGAAGATCTTTAGAACCTGTCTGTAAAAGACTAATTTAGATAGTCTCTACTATAGTAGGGGCTCTCTATATTAGTCTTTTATAGATAGCTCCTAGAATATATCTTTTTAAGAGTTCTTAAAATACCAGAAGAGGCTTTAAGACTTCTATTATAATTCTTCCATATATATTCGACAGTACTGTTTAAGACCTTAATCTGAAGTTTCCGCAGAAGAGTATTAACCACAAGCTGAATTATATAAGCAAGACAGAATATATAATACTGGCTTTGAATAATTGTTGCAAGGTCGGGATTGAGTAAAGCATTATAAAGCTGGATGCTTTAGCTGAGCTGAGTCCGGAGTTCAGATAAAATTGTACTAAATATTAAACTATTGTTACTAGCATTATCAGTTGTTATATCTAACAACTAATAGGACAGGTTGTATTTGTGCAAGACTGATAGAATAATTATAGCTAGATTCTTACCAGTATAAGATCCAGATACCGGTCGGAAGCCCAGTAGAACTTCATAGTAATCTATATCTTCTATTAAAAAATATCCAGTTAAAGCAAGAAATACTTTCTGATTAGAACTAGTCCAGCAGTCTACTGCAACCGATATCCTTCCAGTATCTGAGAACTTTAATAACAGCTGTGTGTGTATATCTTTTGACAACTCCAAGAAATATTCTTTAATCTGCGCTCGATTGGGAGGACTTGATTTTCGGCAGGAAGATAAAGCTGCAAGATTGATCATCCGTTTAAATTAAATATACTCGATAGTTCGGAATGGTAGGCGACAGGTAATTATAAAGCATAGGACTTGATTCTAAAAGTTCTGTTCATCGTAGGCTGTAGAGGCCTAGAGAAAATAACAATTAAAAAAGATTTATATTGAAAGAACAAATAAATACCTGTAATGGCCCTTTACTTAGTATCTGACTGATTATTTGCTTAAATACCACTGATAGCATTTTCTTCTTATAATCCTTGCGAAGATAGTAGCTTATAAAACTAGTTCCTGAGTTTTTAATTCCCGGGTGTTATAGGATATGAAGACAGGCAACATAGTAGATATAAGAGGTTCTATCGGAAAATAATATATCTTTCTAAAAGCTGTTCTATATTATTAATGCCTTCTCTCGACCGAAGTGAAATAGCGGTTTTCGAGCTTGTATACAGGCTTTAAAAAAGGTTGTCTTCTGCTACTAATTCTGAAAAGTAGAGCACTTTTTTTTATAAGTTAGATATAGAACAATCTTCCGATTCTTTACGACGCGCGTAATCTGGAGATTTAAGGAAGGAGAAAAAATCTGGCTTGAGAAGCTTATCTTAGTTTAAATATTATTATAGTTTGTAAATATCTGAGAAACAGAAGAAGAAGGCTCGATAGTATTCTCTAAAAATAAGCCAGATAACTGTAATTAACTTATAATTCTAAGACTACTCTGCAAATAATAGATACAGAAAAAAAAAAGTAGAAAATTCTATAAAAGTAGTTTATTTTGCTTTAAGACGCGCTTTTGTGTAAATATAATTTATTATATTTTGAATATAGCTAAGGCGCCTGCCGCATCTTATTTATTTCAGTCGGTCAGATTGGTCAGGTTGGTCAGGTCGCTCTGATATTTATAGAAAAAACCTGAAAAAGGCTTATATAGAGCTCTCTATAAAAGATGCAGTATCTATAAGAGCTGTTCAAATAATTAAAAACTAATCTATTTAGTGCTAAGATACAAGAATTTTAAGCATGGAGAGAGGAAGAAAAAAAGAGAAAAGTGCGGGAAGGCTTCGGGATATGTATTATTATTACGCGGGGGAGTCGGTTAAACTAAATAAATAAAGTAAGATTAGTATAAATAATAGCAGGTCTCTAGGGTGCTTAGAATTAAAAAGATTAAACAGATTAAAAAGGTTAACTGGGTAAAAAGAATAAAAAAGATCAACTGGATTAAAAGAATAAAAATAGTAGACTGCCCTCACAGTATCTGGTATTTAATAAGGTAATTGTTGGAAAATACAGTTGCCGAGAAAAACTATATAAATAGTATTACGCGGGTTTTTCTTCAAGTTTAACCTATTATACAGACAATTCAGCTCTTTTAGATGGAAATAAGGATATAATAAACTATCTAAGCTGAAGTAAGAAGAAGAATAGTAGAATAAAAATAGTATATTTATTCTTAGTAGTCCGATTATTAGTAAATATACAGTTTTTCTGATATTGTATATTATAATTAAGATGTACGGCTTAAACCGAACTGTAATTATATATCTTTATATGCATTTCTCGCTGTAAGAACCATAATTTTATAAAAAGCTGAATTTTATCAATACTATCAGAAATCTCTGATTAATTCTTTAAGATAGAGATAAAGAAGATACTAATACTTCTTTTAGTTATTTTTTTCTGATTTTAAAAGCTTGTTTCTATATACTTTTAGACAACGGTTAAGATGGTCAGGTTAATAACCGCTTAACCTGAATATATCTTAACCGTGCTAGAGTCTAAATAGGTATAGCGAGCAGGTCTTGGCGTTAAAAACAGTTAAGACGGTTAACCGTCCCTTTTTTAGCTATACCGCAGTCAGGTATAAAAATTTTCTTAACCTGGCCATAACCTGGCGGTCAGGTATAAAAATTCCAATTAACCTAACCTGACCTGGCTGTTAGCCACTCTAATCTGGTTTAGAAAAGCTAGAATAATTTTTATAAAATCTAGATAGTTAATATTATTCTAATATTAGTTATATAGTTAGAATAATCTAATTACCAATAAAAAAAAACGTTCGTTTATTAAATCTTATAAAAATAATCCGATTATATTAAATAGAAATTTTATAGTCCTAGAGCATCTTGTAATTTATCTAAATAAAATTATCTAGCAGTAATAGATCTTTATTAGAAAAAGATATATATTTACTAAATATAGTTACTAGAAAGAATCTTTATATATAAGAATACCAGAACTCAACTAGATTATTAAAATATTTAGTTATTCTAAAATATAACTTTTTCTAGTTAAGCTAAGATAATAGAATATAATAAAATAGCTCTAAAAAATTATATATAATCTAAAGTTTTTTTAGAATTTTTTTAGCAAGATCTTCTTTAAGTAATAACCGAGAAGAGGACTATATTATTAGATTAATATTAACTTTATATTCTTTAGTTAAAAGAAGAGATAAAAATCTTTTAACAGCTTGTTTAAAAATATTCAGCTTTTTTAAAAGAATTTAAATTAAAGAATTATTAAATAATTAAAATATTTTTACTAAACTAGTATAGTCCTCTCGAGAAATCTCTGTACTAAAAACCCAGATTCTAAGAATAAAAAAAAAGTTAGATAAAGAGTTTATAGACAGAATTAAAAATTATTTATAAAAAACTAATCTAATAAACTTCTATCTATTATAGGCTTAAAATAAGAAAAGTATTCTAAAAAAAGTATAACCTATTTTAAAATATATATATTCCTATTAAATAAATATTATCGGTATTATTAAAAAAGATATTATTAAGAGAGGTATTATCGAGAAAGATATTATTAAAAAAGATATTATTAAGAAAGATATTATTAAGAAAGATATTATTAAGAAAGATATTATTAAGAAAGATATTATTAAGGAAGATATTATTAAGAAATATATTATTAAAAAATATATTATTAAGAAAGATATTATCAAGAAAAACATCTAAATTTATTATATATTAAATTATTAGTAATATATAGAATATTAATAGAAAAAAGACTTGGTATTAGTCTAATACTAAAATATTCTTACCATCAGATTTCTATTTATTAAATAAATAAAAAGTCTCAGTTTCTAAATAAACAAAAAGTTAGTTAAATTATAGATATAATAAAAAAAAGAATATACTTAATAAAGCTGTCTAATTAGATATTTTAATTTCTGGACTATTAGACCAGTAAAAAAATATAAAAACCTAATTCTCTTACTTAAAATATATTTTTAGTTATAAAAAGAATTAATATATAAAGCAACTAAAGAACTTAAAATAATAAAATAAAAAAAAAAAACTACTAGTAGTATAATATCTATTAAAAAAAAAGAATAAAGTTTATAAAAAAATAAGATTAAACCTCTCTTTTTTTAGTAAACTATATAATAATAATAACACGAATTAGATTACTATTATAAAATTAGTAAAAATATATTATTATAAAAATATTAATAAAATATTAAGTTTAAGAATTATAAATATTAATTTAGAGATAAAAAAAATAGATATAAAACATATTTACAGATATTTTATAGTATACTTAAAAAATAGACTTACAGTATTATACTATTAATTAAGATTAAGATATATTTATATATTTTAGTATACTAAGTAGTAGTATTAATAATTAAAAAATATAAAAGTATCTTTAAGTTATTAATTATTATTAAATACTTAGTATTATTAGTAAATAGTATTAAAAATAGTTACTATATTCTTTTTAACTATAATATCTAGAAGAAGTCTACTTATTTTATTTATATATTATAATATGTTTTTCTGAAAACTTATCTTTTCGATATAAAGTTAAAAAAGATAATCTTAATATTTTTATAAAATAATTTAAAAAAATTACTGCAGAAGACTATTAAAAAGATATAAAAACTATTTATTTTATTTTCTAAATTATAAATATATATTTTATTTTTTATATAATCCGTGTTTTTCGTATATACTATAACTATAATATAGTTATTTATTTTTATACTCTATTT